GGCTATAGGGGCACAGAGAAAGGAGCCTTGACTCAAGTATGGATGGAAGTGTCTTAAGCTGGCTGAAAAGACAAATGCTCTTCCAACTATGGTCTTGAGGGAGTTGCTAACTTAAAGAGGAAACAACAACTAAAGCAGCACTCAGTGCTGAGTGCTCTGGGTGAGGCGGATCTGCAGTGTGATGGGTAGAAAAGGGGGTCAGCAGGGTCAAACCATCAGGGGCCTTGAATGCCAGGGAAGGAGCCTGAAATATACACTTACTCCCAGGCCATGGAATCTCTCCAAAAGATCTGAAGCAAAGGAAACACGGTCGAACCCGGAAGTTCGATCTCACACACACAGACAGTTCTCATAGAAAACACAGTCTCAACCCAGACTAAATCATCTCTGCAAACTGTCTGGGCAGCCCAGGTACTGCCTGGCCACTCACAGCCAGCTCACTGGGGGTGTTCAACTCCACATCCATTCCCGAGACTACCTGCCTCCATCAGCTCCTACTAGAGGAGATTCTGTAGACAATGAGGGCCTGTTGCATCCCGGCAGTGAGCACTTCTCCAAAAGCAGGTGTATGACTCAGTCTCAGAACCAGAGCCCTACATCCAGAATACCTAGCTGGAAATGACCCTAGATGCCCTCTAAAACAGATTCCTCTTCCCTCTGCCCCACCTGACAAGGATGATTCTACTGCTTTCTGCCACTCATAGGGACTGGGAGTTCTCTTACCCTTTCCTTTTCCTGCCCTTGTGGGACAGCTCAGTCTGTGGGACCTCCTTTCTCAGTTGGAGTTGAGATCTGCCTCCTGAGAACGCCCAGGTTGGGTCCCAGCTTTACTTCTGACTTCAGATCACAGAACTTAGAGCTTCCCACAGAGGTCTGGAAACATTTTTTTTTTTTTTTTGAGACGGAGTTTCACTCTTGTTACCCAGGCTGGAGTGCAATGGCGTGATCTCGGCTCACCGCAACCTCCACCTCCTGGGTTCAGACAATTCTCCTGCCTCAGCTTCCCAAGTAGCTAGGATTACAGGCACGTGCCACCATGCCCAGCTAATTTTTTTGTATTTTTAGTAGAGATGGGGTTTCACCATGTTGACCAGGATGGTCTCGATCTCGACCTTGTGATCCACCCGCCTCGGCCTCCCAAAGTGCTGGGATTACAGGCGTAAGCCACCGTGCCCGGCCTGGAAATATCTTAAGTGGTCATCAGAAGACTTCATTGTCAGAATCATGGTCCAATCAGTCTAACACCCTTAAACCTGAAGCACAGAACCTTGAGGTTTGACCCTTTCTAGGTTGGTCACCAGCCTTGGGGATGGAGAGAGGTTAATAAGCTGAGGCCAGGATATGCTTAGGAAGGAACATGTGCTAAATATAGAAAGAGTTCCAACTACAAAGCAGATGTTAGCCTCTGTCCTCTAAGATAGTTACCTTCTGGCCAGGTGGTGTGGCGGCTCACGCCTGTAATCCCAGCACTTTGGGAGGCTGAGGCGGGTGGATCACTTGAGGTCAGGAGTTTGAGACCACCAGCCTGGCCAAACTGGCAAAACCCTGTCTCTACTAAAAATACAGAAATTAGCCAGGTGTGGTGGCAGGTGCCTGTAATCCCAGCTACTCGGGAGGCCGAGGCAGGAGACTCACTTGAACTGGGGAGGTGGAGGTTGCAGTGAGGCAAGATGGCACCACTGCACTCCAGCCTGGGTGACGGAGTGAGACTCCTTCTCAAAAAAAAAAAAAAAAAAAAAAAAAAAAAAAAAAAAAAAGTCACCTAAAAAAAAAAAAAAAAAAAAAAAAAAAAAAAAAAGTCACCTAGTATATTAGTGGGAAGGAAAGAGGCCTTCTCCACTTGCCAGCTGCTCTCCCCCACACCTTAGTGTGTCTGGACCCACTGGTCACTATTTGAATATCGTAGTGAGACTCTCTTAAATGGATGCCTGATCTCTCCACCTGGACACCAAGTATGAGATCAATGGGATGGTTTTCCTTTACTGCTCTAGTTTTGATTCTCCACGTCACCACCAGCCCCATCCAGGCATGTGCATCAGACTTCACAGAAAAGGTAGAATAACAAAGGAAAAAGAAGGATATGAAAACATAAAACTAAATTATTCCTTATCCCCCTGTAAGGGGACATGTTTTTAGTTCACTTGCATAAGTTCCAACTTCCTCATCTCAATCCCATCTTCTGTTCTGGTTTCTCCAAAAACCTCCCCACATTTCTGCCGATGGTGCTTTCCAGTTGCCCCAGGGAACAAAGCAATGAATGCAAATGGATATTCCTGATGCAGTTTGCTTCAAAATCTCCCCACTAGTAGGACTGCAACATGAATTTTTAATTCTTCCAGCTGTAGACAATTTTTAAATTATTCACACACACATTAAGACAGACATTAATCCTCATAGACAAACGAGTCGTAATCTGGAGGTGGCCTGTGGACTATATCTGGCCCACAAATTGTTTTGTATGATCAGCACATGGTGTTTTAAAAGTTTTGAATTAAAATGGCCAAAGATGCAAAAGACAGATGGCACTATGTACTAATATGCAACAACTGGAGTCTCCTAAACTGCTGGAATGAGTGTATAGTTAAATTGGTACAATTGCTTTGGAAACTGATTGGCAAGACCAAGCATATGCATACATTACAACCAATCATTTCTATTCGTAGGGTGCACCCAAGAGAAATGTGTACTTACCTTCACCAAAAAGTTGGTAGAAAAGTGTTCATGGGCAGGGTGTGGTGGCTCACGCCTGTAATTCCAGCACCTTGGGAGGCCAAGGAGGGCAGATCACCTGAGGTCAGGAGTTCAAGACCAGCCTGGCCAACATGGTGAAACCTGTCTCTAATAAAAATGCAAAAATTAGCCAGGCATGGTGGCAGGTGCCTGTAATCCCAGCTACTCAAGGAGAATCACTTGAGTCTGGGAGGCGAAGGCTGCAGTCAGCCAAGACTGTTCCACTGCACTCCAGCCAGGGCAACAGAGTGAGACTCCATAAAAAACAAACAACACCACACACACACAAAAACAAATCCCAATTCCTTAAGTATGGGCTGCACACAGATTCTTCCCTCAAAGAATAGAGATGAAAAGGCAGTAGGTAAAAAGAGTAACATATTATTTTTGGAGACAGCGTCTCACTCTGTCACCCAGGCTGGAGTGCAGTGGCACGATCCAGGCGCACTGCAACCTCTGTCTCCTTGGTTCAAGTGATTCTGCTCCTCAGCCTCCCACGCAGCTGGGATTACAGGCGCCTGCCACCACGCCTAATTTTTTTGCAAAAAAATTTTTACAAAAATCTAAGGCTAAAGAAGTATTTGCTATAGACCAAATAATGGCAGAGCTGAGATTCCAAAGTTCATATTTTTTATACTACCTAAACTGGTAATCCCAACTACTCGGGAGGATGAGGCAGGAGAATCGCTTGAATTCGGGAGGCAGAGGTTGCAGTGAGCTGAAATCGCACCACTGCATTCCAGCCTGGATGACAGACTGGGACATCATCTGAAAAAAAAAAAAAAGGTTTTAATTGGCTCACAGTTCTGTGGGCTGTACAAGAAGTATGGTGCTAGCATTTGCTTCTGGTGAGGGCTCAAAAAGCTTACAATAAGGCAAAGAGGGAGCTTTGCCCCGCTTTTTATCACATGGCAAGAACTGGAAAGCTATTTCTGTTTCCTCATGAATTAGTTCTTCAATTTAATGTTCCAGCTCTCTAACTCAGTCAATGGAATCCATTCTACCATTTATCCTATCTATTTGTTCTGTATCTTTCCTTTAAAAAACAGGGTCTTGCTTTGTTGCCCAAGCTGGAGGACAGTGGTGTGATTAGAGCTCACTGCAGCCTTGAACTCCTGTGTTCAAACAATCCTCTCACCTCAGTCTTCTGAGAAGCTGGGACTGCAGGTGTGTGCTACCATGCCCACCTAATTTTTAAATTTTTTGTAGAGATAGGGTCTCACCATGTTCCCCAAGCTGTCCCTTCTACCTCAGCCTCCCAAAGTGCTAGGATTACAGGTGTGAAACACTGCACCTGGCTGTGTTCATCATTTCAACAATTAAAAAAATTTCACACTTATGATTCTAGATTCATCTTAACTCCTTAATATTTATCAGGTCATCTTTAAATTACTGGTTGTCTTTCCCAAAGTACTTCTGCTTCAGATATTCACTTTCACTTTTGAGACAGTTTTTAGGTATCAACTACATTGCTGTGTGAGTTCCAATTCTCCTTGGGGTATAGGCTATTAGTATGGAAGGCACAGGGGACAAGACTGTCAAGCTAAGGAGAGGAGGGGACAAACTCTGGGGCAAGGAGCTCTAGTAACTATAAGACCACATGTAATCACTCCCATTCAGTATCAGTATCATCTCCCCAAGCCACAACTTATTTCAGGGCCTTGCCTTTATTTCCATCAGCTTATTGGGGCTTTTTTACCAGCCTAATATTACTCTTGTGGACACCTGCACTAGTATTCTGGCCTCTGGCCTTGATTTCTACAATAAGGGATTCAGCTACGGTTGTCCTTTTCTCTATAAAGAGCCAGATAGTAAACCGTTTTTTTTGTTTTGTTTTTTGGCTTTTAGGGCCAAAGGTCTGTTGCAGCTATTAAACTCTGCCGTTACAGTAAGAAAGTATAGCTGAGTTCCAATAAAAATTTTTAAAACTGGTACCAGGCTGGATTTGGTGGGAAGGACACAGTTTGCTGGCTTCTGTCCCAAGGCAAAGGTATAATTAGGAGTAAGGAGGCAAAAGCAGAACTTAAGATACTTTTCTTAATATGTTCTATTACTGCCTCCACCAGAGCTACATCTTTCAAGTTGCAGCCCCTCTCCTCTACCCTCCAACAATACCCCATCAAAAAAGAGAGTCTTCTGACTCCCCAAGAGTTCCTCACATTTTTTTGTTATTTTTCTGGATTCCATCCATATCTGGTAGAGGTCTAAGGAGGGAGAAGCATATGCTAATTAACCATCTTGGCAGGAATGGGAAACCAAGTCAATAATTGTTTTCTTTCGTGTTTTATTTATATATTTTTGGCAGCAAAATTGTGTTTATTTAAAAAAAAAAAATCTGGACTATGAACACACTTGACTGCTTTGAAGAACTCCAAGCCAAATAAAAAGACCAATGTTAAAAGCAGCATAACTGGTTATTTTCTTAAAAATACATAAAAAGAATCAAATGCAACAGTGTAGGAAGACAATCACCCCCATGTCAGAAGTCACAACTTCTTCCAAATAAAGAATATGACCCATCTACCATATTGAATCAATATTTATTTCAGGACATGCCATGTCAAAATAAAACAAAGAGTCAACCCTTGCTTTTAACAATTATATTGTATTATAAAAGCACTTTACAACTCCATCCCATCTTTAAGTATAAGTTACTGGTATGTGGGCTAATGATTATCTGTAAGCATTTCTCTATTCAGATCCATAATCCAAGTGCTCTTTGAATATTACAAGGTGACAATAAGTGGGAAGTGGAGGAGGAAGAGGAAAGAAAGGGGACTAAGGTTCTCCCAGTTTAAGGTTTTGTTGCAATGAGGGGATAAGGAAGTATGAAGGTATTTTTGTTGTCTTTTTATCTTTATACTGTGTTAAGTAATGCTTACAACATAAATTCAGCAGGCTTTTCCTGAGCTGTAACTCAGAAGTTTTCTTCCTGCAAACAATGTATTTACAAATGTGTTTATTAGCTTACACAGCAATCTCACAATAACTAGTAAAGATTAAAAGGGCACACTCCTAGTATATTTGTTTGCAGTGTTTTAAGGGAAATACATATTGCCATGGTGAAGCTCTAAATAGATTCAACAAAACATCTAAAAATTGAAAGTTGTTAAAAAAAAAAAAAAGGCAAAGAAATAAATATCACCAAAGAAAAACGATTAATTGTAGCTTGAATATAAAACTAAATCACTAGTTAATTAAACTATATAGTTCTAATACAAACCAAAACCAGCCTGAAAGACCCAACATTAAAAAATGCTAAAAAATAAGGCATAAATCTGCATAACATTGAGTTTTATTTCCATTCTCTCCTTTCCCTCTACTATGCATGCTTTACCTGATCTGCCTCTAGGGGCTTAGAAGAAAACGGCTTCCATCTTCATTTTGACCTCAAATGTCCTGAGCAAAGTTTTTGCTATTCTCCTGAGGGTTCTTTTGTTGGTAAGCTTTAGATACCGTTACTTCTACTAATTTAGTAGTTTTGATCATAGTGCCAAATTTAAATTCTTCCACTGGTTCTTCTGAAAGGAACTGAACTTTTACAGTGCTTTGCCTACATAGTATATATATTTTTTTTTTAAAGAAAACACAAGCAAAATCTATTGCTTAAGTTTGTTATTATTTTTTAAACAAACAGAATAACTCTTAACATTTTAAAACCTTGGGAGAAACAGTTCATTAGAATTTCATTATTTTACCACGAAGAACACTAAAAACCTGTTCTGAAGCACTAGGTTACTTTTCTCTCCCAGAGTCTAATAAAGCACATGTGAAAGGGCCATTTGTTTTAGTCAGAAATACATTTTATGTTCTTCTACTTACAAGTACTCAGTATGTTCTTTAGGACTCATTTTGAAGTTGCACCAGGACCCTTTTCTCATTCACGCACTGCCTACTACGATAGCTGAATTCTGATCCCAAAGAAGATCTAAGTAATTCGTATCAGTGCTCAAGAATAATTTTGGACATCTTGGCCCATGGCCTACAGCAAGTGGTATCTGTAAAATTAAAGGATAATTCCAATGGGCTTGGTCTGACTGCTGCTTTGCCATCTCGTTTGTTTTGAGGAAGTGGGGGAGGCTAGGTAAGATACAGGGAAAGGGGGTAAGAGAGACATAAGAAGAGCAAGGAGAGATCAAGTAGGCTGTGAATATACTGCTTACTAACCAAGCCATACTCACACTGTTGAGATTTCCATCATTTCGAAGTACATTATCATAACATTAAAAAGGAAAAAATGTTAAGAAAATGTATCTAATTTTTAAAGTTATCACTGGAATATGTTGTAATATTTTGGCTTTTTGTAAAATATAAATAATGAAGACACTGACTTTTTTTGTGCTTGTGAAGCTAAAAGATCATCTCCACGAGACAGGCAGCGATGATGAATTGCAATACGTTATTACTGAAGGGAAAAGGTTCAAGCCAATATTCACACTGCAGTCAATGAAAGAGTAAGGGGGCCAAAGCAGTGAGCTTCTGAAGAAGGGTTGAGATGACATGGGAGATTAGCAGGAACAGCCTCCTTCATTGACTGGTTGCTCCTGAGGCTTTTCCAGTTTTATGTCAATCACTGAAACAAAAGTTAAGGAGCCATAAATGGGAAAGTACGATTTCAATTCTTCCAAACACTAGGATTTCTGGGATGGCCCTTGTATTCCTATTTGACTTCAGAGCCTACACAATCACTATTTTCTTCTACATAGTCACCTCACCATATAAGGTGCTCAAGAGGAATAAACTTGCTTGTATCTACTATACGCAACAAGGGTCAGAATGAGGTACAAGCTCTATTTATGGGTATCTATCCTAAGGAACTTACTCTACAGGAGCAAGAAGTGACATGAAGATGATGTTCCTCATAGAATTATCTATAATATAAATCTAAAAATAGCCTATTAAGACAGTTCCAACAGCAGGGGAAACATTTAATAAATAATGGGACTTTCAGGCCGGGCACAGTGGCTCACACCTATAATCCCATAACTTGGGAGGCTGAGGCAGTTGAGTCATCTGAGGTCAGTAGTTCGAGACCAGCCTGGCCAACATGGCGAAATCCCATCTCTACTAAAAATACAAAAATTATCTGGGCATGGTGGCTTGTGCCTGCAGTCCTAGCTACTTGGGAGGCTGAGGCAAGAGAATCACTTGAACCTGGGAGGCAGAGGTTGCAGAGAGCTGAGATTGCACCGCTGCACTCCAGCCTGGGTGACAGAGTGAGACACTGCCTCAA